AGGAATGCATATGAAAGAGGGAGCTTCCATTAAGCTGGAACACAAATGCCCACAGTATTGCCAATCTACAGCTAAAAGCAGAAGTTGTAAAGAGACTCAGTACTTGTCTGAACATTCACTGATCATTCTGCTTGCAAGCAGTCTCTAGGCAATCTGGACGTTACAGTGTAATCCACTCCTTTCCCACTCCTGGGAAACCTCTCCTCCCAAAGGAATGACCCCTACTTGTGCTCCTCCTGTGTCTATGTGTACACGCACAAATGCAAGGCAAGATTAAACACACTCTGACAGCCATCAGCTTAAAGCCAAAGTCCTCCATTCACCAGTTGCTATTCCCAAAATTCAGATGGGAATGGCTAAACACAAATAAGAAAGAGCGAACCTGCCTCTCGCTTCTTTCCAAGGCCCAACAGGTTGTTATCTACCGCAACTTCCTAAAAGGGGAGAAGAGCCTGCCTGACTCCAGTGACCTGCATTCCTGTGCCCCGCAAGCCTCAACTCTACCTGTTCATCCGCATGGTTGGAGGTGCTCATACAGCACCTCCTGCAAGGACTCTTTTTCAGCACTTACAAGGGAAATCTGTTCACTTCTTACTTTGTTACACAAATAGGACAATATTCAAGATGTGCTTCTGACTGCAGTATTTTTCTTGTGCTATCACAACGTACTTTTCAGGAGGATTGCTCCAAATTCAAATAGTGCACATGTTCATACAAATACATTAGACAAGAGCAGCACCACGTATAAAGCAAGAAAAAGGCAATTGATCTGGCTTTGATTTTAAGCTTCAAGTCACACTGCAAATCCAATCCTGGAATAAACTAGTCATATGGCAATATAAATTTTAGATGGGAAGAAATACCTTAACCGAAGCAAAAAATAAAAATGAAGCTTCTTGTAACGCTGCAAAGTCTCCATCACAAAGTCAATTAAAAATTAAAAAAAAAAGACTTTACTGCCATACAGATAGCTATTGTTCCAACAAATATAATTAGTCATACAGAAAATCTACTCTGAAATATGTTACTTCTGCATATGACGCATTTAGTTATCATCCATTATTCCTGTTACACAATGCAGGGTTAAGATACACAATCTTTCTGATACCATAACAAACTTTAAAAAATAAAATAAAATAAATAAAATTTAATCATCAACATTCCTTGACATATGAGTAGAAACACCAATGATAACATTACAGTACCTACAGGTACTTACAGGTCAAGAAGATAGTAGACCCACTTCAAAGGAATAAGCACTCAGCTAAACTAACCTCAACATTAACTTCAGAACTTTTCCTTGCAGTCATCTTCACGTTACTCAAGAGCACACTTTAGTAAATAATGTGTATCTACTCAAACTTAAGTCTGTGTACTCTGAAGCAACTTTCACCCTGCTAGCCAGCCTCTCCAGAAGAGGATCGTGACTTCCACAGCAGAGCAACATAGGCATTCCTACTCACAGTATGCTACCTCTCCAGCCAACCACAGGTTGTGCATCACTGGTGACTTAAAAAAGGAGAGCATATAGTTTGCTTTGTCTCAAGAGAAAGCTGAACATTAAATCATTCTTAATATTTAAAACAAGCTACTGTGAAATTATATAAGAGACACATAAAAATGTTCTTTAATGACATACATATAGATACTGTATGCATACATGCATATACATGCACACATACGATGCACACTGATAGCTTTGAAACCTCTGTAAATTCCCAAAAACATCCACATTTTATAGTATAGTAACTATGGATTTGCATATGAGTTGCATATGAAGAAGAAAGATTCCTGTATTTTAGTGATGATTACAGAAAAGAAATAATGCTATGATTATTTAAAACTGTTAAGAGAGATAATCACATTTCATTCAATGTAGTACAAAACAATTTAAGTAAAGTGATTAGATCATGGTTTTAAATATGGTTTAAATTGGCACACAGGAAATCTTGCTTCAAATGTTGATTTTTACTTGTTTTCTTTTGCACTTTGTAAATCTCCAAAATATTCAGTCTCTTTACTTATTAGAAACGCATTTACATGGCTACTCTAAATAAATCTTGTCTTTACACTCATATTAATTATTCTGCCCTCATCAGAATTTCACTGATCAGTATAAAAACTATTTAAGGAAGCATATTTATTTATATTAAATAGACCAACACACACATTCTATCCAAATATAGTCCATCACAAAAATTTGAAGTAAAGCACAGAAGAAAAGGAAAAAAAAAAAAAAAAAAAGGGTGAAACACTTGAGTAAAGATTAAAAAGATATTTCTGCTAATTCCAGCTATAAGTTACCGAGCCTTCAGTTCATTAGAATTTATAGTTGTTCACCGATGTAACTTCATGTAACTTGGCTAAACCTTCTGAAATTTCCAAAATGTATTTCAGCCTTAAGAGAGATCATCAAATGGAACTTTAAATAGCGTAAGAGACACATGTTTATTAAAAAATAACACTGAAATAACTTTTAGCCATAGAAAACTGATTCTGAAAGCATCATGAGCTATAACACGTTGCCTAGAATACATTTTTTCAAACACATTCTTCCAATACCTACATTTTTTGTATTATGTATTCAAGCAAATATTCTACTCCAGTTCAAACCTGTAAGTCATAAAGTCACAAAAAAAAATCCTTCCAAATATAGCCTAATGTCAGTATATATTTCAGAAGCTGCCAAAATTGTGGTATACGAACCCCCTCAGTTAACATGGTTCACATATCTATGGCAGGCAGCTCCCATCCTTTAGTTCTCCTCTCTCCCCAACATTCTCTGCTGTAGGAGCCAAGACAGCAGAGGCGGAAAAAGAGCAGGAGGGCATAAGACTGGAATCACAGCATGACCAACCATCTAGGTGCTCTAACGAGGTGGTTGAAGGAATGGGGTCTGCATCCCTGCATGTGGCAAAGAAGGATGCTATCAAAGATGACAAGCACTTGGGTCCCATTTCGGAAGGACACGACGTACTGGGGCAAAGGACTGGTATCAAGGCAGACAAGGGAGGGTTAAAGCCCCAAGGCAGCAAGCAGGGGTTTTGCACACTGTAAGAAGCAAGGAAAGGTGCAAGGCGTGCAACAGCAGCATGGGTTGAAAAGGGACAGAGACAAGTTTTGGCTTTCACAGAAAGGTGGCCCGATCTCTGCTGCTGAAGGAAGCACAGGAAGCTTTTGCAGACAACAGCAGTACATGAGTAACTAACTTTGGAACACCTTGATAAAAATTCCCAACTGCTAGGAAAATAAGGGAGAACTTGAAGCTCAACTAAATGCCTTCTCTGGTAATAAAAGAGAAGAAAATTAGCTATATATATATATGTATATATATTTTTATAGACTTTTTTTGGTTAGATTTTTTCTTTCTTTTTTTTGTGGGAGTGAAGGGGAGAAGATGGAATGGAGGAGAAGTCCAAATGAAACTCCAAATGAAACAACTGTGTTCTGGGATTTTTCAAGTCCACCTTCAATAAAGATAGGTATATTATTAAGGGAAGAAAAGCAACTTCAGACAGTCTTGCTCTGGCAACAGAAAAAGAATGAAGAGGTGGGTTAATGTCATGTAAAGCTAGCTATTCCCTGCAGGTCTGTGCACAAAGCAATTCACAATATCTACATCAAAACTACTCAGCAGTGAACAGCAGATAGGTACAAAGCACCAAGCACCTCTCTAGCATTACAAAAGCAAAGATTCCCAGCCAATTCTGTGGTTGGAATACACTTCACCCTTCCATTATCTGTTGTGTAACAGCAGAAATTGAAGTCATGTCTTATGTATAACTAAAATTATTCAAATATCTTCTACTTCTTGTTTGAAGAAATATAAAATCAAACAATTGAAACCACACCTCTAACCTTTAAAAGTCTTCTTTGATCCTCTTCTCCTTTTTTTGCTCTATTTTCACCTCAATTCAAAATATTAAAAAATTAAGTGTTTCAAACCAGTTCCCACTTCCACAGCTAGCTGGAAAAATGGGGTTAAAGAAACACATCTTGAAGGAAGAGATTGGGAAGAGAACAATTCCTGAGACAGAAATGAGTTTGGGCTTCAAGTAAGTATGTTATCAACCTTATTGGTTCTTGACAGTGACAAGAAAGCCTGAAGTCAGATGAAAGTAGAACCTCTGCTCTCCTTTGAAAAAGAAGAATGTTGTAAATTCTCACGCTCAAATACAAAATATTGAACCTCAATGCATATGCATGCATGTCCAAACTATAAATCTCAATATACAGTTATTCTAAGACTTACTATTCCTCTAAACAGTCATGTTTCAGAAGAACAGTACTCCAGAAAAGACCTCTCTCTAAAAAAAACTAGGAATAATTGTTTTTCTATATTTTTCTCCTGCACTCAAGAGGAAGATTGAAGAAGGGCAAGCACCACCAAAGAAGACCTCCATAGTTTGGTGGACACGAAATCAAAAGGTGAGATATTAAGCCTGCCCATTGCAGTACCCTGGCTCCAGGTGACTCTGCAGCATGGGCTTGGTAGCCAGGAGGATCACACTGGACGCTCAATATGGTTGAGAAGGAGGCACAGAACAGCGCTGGCAGCAGCCAGGAGCACAGGTGCACAGGGTCACAGGACAGCTGGGGTCAGACAGGACCTCTAGGGATCATCTAGCCCACCCGCCCTGCTCCAGCAGGGACACCTAGAGCATGTGGCACTGGGTGGTATCCAGGTGGGTTTGGAAGATCTCTAGAGAAGGAGACTCCACAGCCTCTCTGGGCAGCCTGTTCCAGGGCTCTGTCACCCCCACAATAAAGAAGTTCTTCCTCACATCAAGGTGGAACTTTGTGTATTTCAATTTATACCCACCACCCTTTGCCTGCCACTGGCCACCACCGTGAAGATTTTGGCCCCATCCTCTTTACATTCTCCCCCCAAGTATTTGTACATGTTGATCAGATCCCCTCAATCTTCTCTTCTCCAGGCTAAACAGGCCCAGCTCGCTTAGTCTTTCCTCATACGAGAGGCTCCAGTCCCTTAATCATCTTTGTGGCTCTCTGCTGGACCTCTCTAGAAGTTCCACATTCCTCTTGTGCTGGGAAGCCCAGAACTGCACCCAATATTCCAGATGCGGCCTCACCAGAGCTGGGCAGAGGGGGCAGCACGGGTGCAAAGAGGTGAGAGGATGCACAGGCACAGCAGCTTGTTGCTAAACTTCCTTCTTGCCTTCAGGAGGTCACCAGACGCCAAGCCAAAACAGCACTGCATATTCACGGAGCAAACACACACTGCTTTTGGAAGAGAAGTGTAGAAACAGGCACAAAGAGGGGATCGGAAGGCCCCGCCTGCACGCGGCAGGTCGGCAGACGCCAGGACCGGGCCAGGATGCGGGCGAGAGGAGGAGGCGGGCGCGGAGGAGGA